AATTCACTGGGAAGCAGGAGCACATGGAACATCGGTCCATTAAAGTCCAATTTTCAAAAAATTGTTATTGAATTTTTTTTAAAAATCTTTCTTCCTTTCTTTTTCAATTGTGTGGAAGAAATCACACTTTTGGATGAATTGTCCCAACACATGCAATTTCAAATTCTATGCTCCCATGCAAGTCCTGCTCACAATTGTTACAGGCTGAATTGTGTCCCCCCCAAATGTACATGTTGTAGGCCTAATCCCCAATGTGATTGTATTTGGAGGCAGAACCTTTAAGGAGGTAATTTGAGCTAATGGGGTTATGGGCGTGGGGCCCTAATCAGATAGGACTGATGTCCTTATAAGAAAATAAACAGATATCACTCTCTCCCTCTCTCCATATAAGCACACAGGAAAGACCACTTGAGGACACAGAGAAGGCAGCTGTCTGCAAGCCAAGCAGAGGGACTGATGTGGTTTTGCTTTGTACCCACCCAAATCTCATCTTGGGTTGTGGTTCCTGTGGTCCCCACGTGTGGTGGTGGGACCTAGTGGGAGGTAGTTGAATCATGGGGGTGGTTACCCCGATACTGCTGTTCTCATGACAGTGAGTGGGTCTCATGAGATCTGGTGGTTTTATGGAGGGCAGTTTCCTTGCACATGCTCTCTTGCCTGCTACCATGTAACATGTGACTACTCCTCTTCCTTTGCCTTCCACCATGATTGTGAGGCCTCCTTAGCCATGTGGAACTGTGAGTCAATTAAACCTCTTTCCTTTATACATTACCCAGTCTTGGATATGTCTTTATTAGCGGCGTGAGAACAGACTCATACAGGGGCCTCACTGGAAACCCTGGTGGTACTTAGATCTTGGACTTGCAGCCTCTAGGACTATGAGAAAGTAAGTTTCTGTTTCCTAAGCCACCCAGTCTGTGGTATCTTGCTATGGCAGCCTGCACAGGCCATATCAATGAACATATAATTTTGAATTTTTCAATTCAGCTTTCTATTCTCATCACTAGTTCTGTGCCAATATTTTAATGAATGCACATTGAACCATGCATTTATTTTTTAATTTAGGGATAATGCACAATATAGTACTAAACATCAAATAGTCAACTTCAACGTAAACCGTAACACTCATTTACAAGAAGAGTTGCAAGCTGTCAACAAAAATTTAGCTGACTTCAACTGAGTACATATGTTACCTTTAGGAAAGTAATGATTCTGAAGATGACAAGAGATTTCTGTAAAAACTTTAATTAATGTAGCATTTCAAATGTTTGAAATGGATGTGAAAAATAATTTTGTTGCTCTTTCCTCTGAAGCAGAAATGAATTGAAAACCACTTGATGGGGTCTACATTGCAAAATACAGAGTGTCCTTTCTTTCACACTTTATGATTTGAGGATGTCGACTCCTGATGGGTCAAGAGTCTGAGGGCATGGTGTGTTAGTCTATTCTCACATTGCTAATAAAGACATACCAAGACTGGGTAATTTATAAAGGAAAGAGGTTTCATTGACACACCGTTCAGCATGGCCGGGGAGGCCTCAGGAAACTTACAATCATGGCGGAAGGGGAACCAGGCACATCCTTCTTTATGTGACAGAAACAAGGAGAAGTGCCGAGTAAAATGGGGATACTGTCTAGTGGGAAGAAGCAGCCGTTTAGAAATCCAGTCTTGTCTATCAAGCACCTACTGTGTTCCAGGCACTGGAAACACAGCTGTGAACGCAATGCAGCCCCAAGTTTGGGGATCTTATTTTGTAGTGGGAAAACACAGTAAACAAGTCAGCAATTTATAAGGGATAAGCCCCTTATAAATCCATCAGAACTCGTGAGAACTCATTCACTATCATGAGAACAGCATGGAGATAACTGCCCCTGTGATTCAATTACCTCACACCAGGTCCCTCCTGCAACACATGGGGATTATGGGAACTACAGTTCAAGATGAGATTTGGGTGGGGACACAGCCAAACCATATAAGATGATGAGGGAGCTTGCCTTTAACTGATACTGAGTCTGCACAGGTTTGAAGACACTGGGGTATAGAAGACATGCTGGTGACCTCTGTGTGCCTTATGGAGCCATGTCTCCCACTTCTTCACTGCAGGTTGTGCCCTGGAAGACTGACCTCTGTTGACTGCATCAAGAGTTGCCTTTGTCCTCTCACCTTGATTGGGTTCAGGTGATAGGAAGTACCTGCAGGAGATCAGAGAAGGGTAGGCTCAACAGTGCCCACACCCACGGTACCCATGTCCTAATCCTTAGAACCTACAAATAATGACCTTATAGGCACACAAGACTTTGCAAAGGTGATCAGGCTAAGAGTCTTGAGATGGGGTGATTGTCTTGGATGGTCCAGATTGATCCAGTGTCATCACCAGTGGCCTTATCAGAGAGAGGCAGGAGGATCAAAGCCAGAGAAGGAGATGTGGTGATTGAGGCAGAGACTGGGTGATTCAGCCATGAGTCCAGAGGGCCTGGCCACCTCTAGAAGCTGGAAGCAGCAAGGTGCAGATTCTTCTCTGTGTTCTTTGGGAGGAAACAGCTCCAGTGACATCCTAATTTTAGCCCCAGAAGACTCATTTTGGACTTCTGACCTTCAGAACTTCAAGAGAGTTTGAAAAATACATCGCAGACCATTGGAACATGTTTTAAGTGGCAAACGATATCATTCTCTTTTCTTTTTAGCTTTTCACCTTAGGAAGGAGGTTGCTTCACTTTTTATTTGACATGGAATTGTTTCTGTTGTTTTCCTAAACCTGGAGAGTGAAGGAAGCCATCCTCCAGGAGTCAAGACAAACTTTGGATGTAATTCCTGTTGATTTCAAGTAGCTTCTCTCTCTATAGGCTGGTAATATAATGGAAACATTTGTCCTGCCGCTAACGCAGACATTTGTGTTGTTTTAAGCCGTTAACTATTTTGGTAAATTCTTGGAGGAGCAATAGGGAGCTAATTAAAGGGGGAGCAAGAATGAGATGAAGAAGCTTGTCCTGCCTCTTCCCATGCTCCCTGTGGGTGGCATCTGATGTGGTTCAGGTCTGTGTCCACGCCCAAACCTCATGTGGAATTGTAAACTTCAGTGCTGGAGGTGGAGCCTCGTGGGAGGTGATTGGATCACGGGGGTGCATTTCTCATGAACGGTGCTGTCCTCGCGATAGTGAGTTCTTGTGAGATCTGGTCGTTTGAAATTGTGGGGCACCTCCCTCCTCTCTCTCTCGTTCTGCTTGTGTCATGTAAGGTGCCTGTTCCCCCTTCACCTTCTGTCATGATTGTAACTTTCCTGAGGCCTCCCCAGAAGCCAAGCAGATGTCAGCACTATGCTTCTTGCACAGCCTGCATAACTGTGAGCAAATTAAACCTCTTTTTTAAAACAAATTACCTGGTCTCAGATACTTTTTGTAGCAGGTGAGAATGCCCTACTACAGCATCACTGAGCTGCGCACATCTCTGTCCTTCCTCTCACTTCCCTTCAGGCCCAGGAGTGGGAAAGAAAAACTCTCTACCTGCCCCACCCTTGCAAACAGAATTTCTTCTACACTTCCCTCATTTTATAGGAATTTGAATTTGCCGTTGTTTCCTGCTGAGCTGCTATGAGGAGTAGCAGCAAGGAAGCCAGGATAGGACTCTGCGGAAGATGAGCTTGCACAGTAGCCTCCGCTCTCTGGCCAGGGTCTGCCTTTTTAATTGAATCCCTTCTGGGCCCTAATGAGAACGAAATTCATCCCCCCAACTGGTGACCTCATTCCTCAAGCCCCAGTGCTGTGGTTGCTATTTCAAAGGGTCAAATTTGGTTCATGTGGAGAACATTTCTCATTGGTTTCCAAGGGTTAACAGTGGGGAAGATAGAGTGAAGAAGATGGAATTAAAACACTGTCATGAGAAGTTAAAGATGTGTTATAAAATGTATCAGAAAACTTAAGAAAATGCACTCTTCTCATGTTTTTAAAAACAATGCTTAAAGAACTCTTACTCTGAGTATACTATTTTTTTTTTTGCTTGTTTAAAAACAATTTTTTTTTTTTTTTTTTTTTTTGAGACAGAGTCTCACTCTGTCATCCAGGCTGGAGTGCAGTGGCGCAATCTTGGCTCACTGTAACCTCTACCTGACAGGTTCAAGCAGTTCTCCTGCTTCATCCTCCTGAGTAGCTGGGATTACAGGCACAAGCCACCACTCCCAGCTAATTTTTGTATTTTTGCTGGAGATGGGGTTTCACTGTGTTGGCCAGATTTGTCTTGAACTAATGACCTCAAGTGATCTGCCTGCCTTGGCCTCCCAAAGTGCTGGGATTACAGGCATGAGCCACTGTGCCTGGCCCAAAAACAAATCTTAAAGTAAAGACCTTTTTTTTTTTTTTTTTTTTTTTTTTGAGACAGAGTCTTGCTCTGTTGCCCAGGCTGGAGTGCAGTGGCCAAATCTCAGCTCACTGCAAGCTCCGCCTCCCAGGTTTACGCCATTCTCCTGCCTCAGCCTCCCGTGTAGCTGGGACTACAGGCGCCTGCCACCTCGCCCAGCTAGTTTTTTGTATTTTTTAGTAGAGACAGGGTTTCACCCTGTTAGCCAGGATGGTCTGGATCTCCTGACCTCGTGATCCGCCCGTCTCGGCCTCCCAAAGTGCTGGGATTACAGGCTTGAGCCACCGCGCCCGGCCAAAGTAAAGAACTCTTATTCTGAGTATCCTCTTAATGTTTTGAACTTTTGGAAATAGCACAAAAAACTCTCTTAAGAAGGGGAATAGGATCTCTGTGGAAGGAGAAGAAAGTTTGAGCAAACTATCCAATGGGAAGCAATGAGGTGACAATTTCTCTTTTCTTATTCCATGGCTATTTCGTGGCTAAGCACTGGCCAGGTGGTGTCAGTAATGTAATCCTCTGCTGTGATTTAATGGTAATTTAAGGTTTCACGCTAAATTTTCTGGTAATGTTTGGAAAATACATCACTGACCGTTAGAATGTGTTTTAAGTGACAAAACAATCTCATTCTCTTTTCTTTTTAGCTTTTCACCTTGGGAAGGAGGTCTCTTTACTTTTTATTTGAAAAGGAATTGTTTTTGTTATTTTCCTAAACCTGGAGAGTGACGGAAGCCATCCTTGAGGAGTCAAGATAAACTCTAGATGTAAGGTCTGTTGATTTAAAGTAGCTTCTCTCTCTCTGAGACAGTAATATAAACGGAGCGTTTGTCCTTCTGCCACTCATGCCGTTCTGCCATTTGTAGTGGTCTGGGCTCCCTGTGGGTGGAATGTCTCACTGGGCATTGTGAGAAGAGGAGAGCGGGATTCTGACCCAGGCGCTGCTGCTGGAGGCTCTGTGACACCCGCACATCGTCACTTAACATGCAAGGGCTGTCCATGGTCACTGTCACTTTTCAGTGCATGATGTAATTAGTATTTCATGACTGTAATAGAAAAAAAATGCTCTAGTGTCTGTGCGGATGATTGAATAGAAGAGAAAGCTACTCTGTGCTTATAACACAGGGTTGTGTTTGTCCCTTCTTCTCTTCCAGCTGAATGGTCACCAGGTCACGGAATTCCACCGGGAATGGGAAGATCCTCTGGAGTAGCACGCAAAGTCCTGCTATCTGCATTCTGTGGTTGGAGTGAGTTGGGTGAGTGGAGCCAACCCAGACCTTGGGATGGGGCAGAGTAGGATCCGCAGGCTGGCTCTGCCCCACCTAGTGGGCAGGGATAGGTGCTCTGGGTGGGGACTCTGCAGGCTGGGTTCCTTCACTCCTCAGGCTCCTGTCACCTTGCTCTTGGCCACTGCTGTAGGCGAGCATTGGGCAGGCAGATTTCTCACAGGAGACAGACAATTTCAAAGGCTTGGTTGCTGTCTATCCTGTCATCCCCGTGCACTCACAGGATGAGATTTTCTTAACCATTTGGCAAAATAAAATTTAACTGTCAAAAATAAAGGTCTGATGCTGCCTATGAACAGCTTTATATTTCATCCTAATGCTTCTTCTTCTTTTTTTTTTTTTTTTTGAGACGTGGTCATGCTCTATTGCCCCGGCTGGAATGTAGCAGTGCAATCATAAATCGTAGCTCACCACAGCCTCAAACTTGTGGCTCAAGTGATCCTCTGATGTTAGCCGCCCAAGTAGCTGGGACTACAAGAGTGCACCACCATGCACACTTTTATTTTATTTTTAAAAAGTTTTTAAGGGATGAAGTCTCACTATGTTACCCAGGCTGGTCTGGAACACCTGGGTATAAGGGACGTCCCCCTTCAGCCTCCCAAAATGTTGAGATTACAGGCACAAGCCACCATCCCCAGCCCTATATATATGAAAACTTCGGGACATTATCCATCTCCTAAAATCAGGGTAGAGTAATTTTTAAACCTACTCTCCTGTATTCTGCGTATCAGATTTAGTTGCTTTCTCTTGCTGAGCCTTCTACATAGGATTGTTTTATTCTCCCAATAAACACAGCCATTTCCTTGAACAGGGGAGGTAATACCTGCGTAAGTCTATGTACAGTATGTAGCAAACAATGTGAGTAATTTCTAAACTATTTTGCTTTGCAATAATCAAGGGTTTGAAAACCCTAGATGAGAATTGGCCCTCTGGTGCCTCACTCTCTCAGCTCTCTCTCTCTCTTCTCCATTTTCTTTGCTGCTTCATGCTTTCCTCCATCTTTGTTATGTGTCCCCTTCTTTCCTAATTATTTTGCCTTGAAATGCTGCTTTATAAACTGCGGTTCCTGACTTCTCAAGCTTTCCATATTAAAGTTATGCTAAGTCCCGTATCTTGGTGGCAGCGCATCAGTCTTTCCTCCGCGAAGTCCTTGCTGACATATCCTTCTTGTCCTCTACTCCAACGTCTGCTCTGCAAGAGCCGTCTGGCTCCAATGCCTCGTGCCAAGCTGCTTTGAAATCGTTTCTGAAAACTTACCATTTTGCTGAAAATGGCTTTCTCTAGTGGAGTCTCCAGTGACAGATGGTCCGTTTCAATATTTTCCTGCCCACAAAAATTCCCAATAGTCATAGAAAAGAAATGTATACCTTTGTAAGGAGCATTCTGGGTGAGGTGTCTAGGGTCGCTTTCTTTGCTTGTCATTTCCTGCTAGAAGTATGTTAGATGGAGGCTGTGTCCTACAGAGCCATGTTTTGCATAAAGTCTCATCAACTGTCAGCATCATGACTTAAAATGCGATAATGAGGTAGAGACATTCAAGTTCCAGATTGCTCAGACAGTGCGGAGTCGATCATGCCTGCCTGGCTGTCCAATTCAAGCATGCAAGCCAGCACATGTGTGTCTCTTTCAGCATTCTGAGTTGGATGACAATTTTACTTTGGATGGATTTTATGATTTACATAGGATTATATACATCTTCTATAAAGTCTTTTGCCTAAGTTGCGTTGAGACTCTCAGAAGGGTGACTTTCAATAGGGAATCCTGGTACGTATGGTTGTGACATTTGAGAAGAGCAAACACTTGGCACACTTCCACATTTTCAGCAGCACTGTGAAAACTACAAATTTATTTACACGATTTGTTGGAAAACTGCAGAAATTCTTCACTTTTTTTTTTTTTTTTTTTTGAGACAGAGTCTTGCTCTGTTGCCCAGGCTGGAGTGCAGTGGCGCAATCTCTGCTCACTGCAAGTTCCGCCTCCCGGGTTCACGCCATTCTCCTGCCTCAGCCTCCCAAGTAGCTGGGACTACAGGCGCCGCCACCACGCCTGGCTAGTTTTTTATATTTTTTAGTAGAGACAGAGTTTCACCATGTTAGCCAGGATGGTCTTGATCTCCTGACTTTGTCATCCGCCCACCTCGGCCTCCCAAAGTGCTGGGATTACAAGCATGAGCCACCGCGCCCGGCCTAAATTTTGTTTCTAAAAGAAGTGAGAGTGAGAACTAGAGGTAATAAGATGACGTACAAGACAGAAAATAAATTTGCTTGAGAAGAGTAAACCCTCAATCATCCCACCTTGGCTGAAAGTGGGCAAAAGGCAGGTTGCAAAAAGCAGCAACAATAGGTTTATCCTCAGATTTGTTGCTGCTTTTTCTTCTACCTGGAAAAGCTTTCCATCCTCATTTTGTAGCACATACAATCTGATCGTTTCAGACTAGAGAGCCAATGTAACTACTTCCAGGGTACGTAAGGTTTCTTGATGGTCTTTATGAAGACTAATAACAAGTTGTATACCTGTTCTCTTTCTTTCTAGAGTTTTCAAAATGAGTTCTGGGAAATGTTAGGCTGTGTATAAAAGAAGAAGTGGTCTTGAGAAAGGCCATGGTACCCATGACTGGAGGTCCTGGACACAGCCTCTCCCTCATCTCATCCGTGGAGAAGGTTCCCTATATTAGTTCATTCTCACATTGCTATAAAGAACTACCCGAGCCTGGGTAATTTATACAGAAAAGAGGTGTAATTGACTCACAGTTCTGCAGGCTACACAGGAAGCTTGGCTGGAGAGGCCTCAGGAAATTTTCAGTCATGGCAGAAGGTGAAGCGGAAACAGGCACATCTTCCATGGCTGGAGAAGGAGGGAGAGAGAAAAGGATAAGGCACCATACGCTTTTAAACAACCAGGTCTTGTGAGAACTCACTCACGATCATGAGAACAGCCAAGAGGAATTCTACCTCATGATCCAATTACTTACCACCAGGTCCCTCCTCCAACACTGGGGATTACAGTTTGACATGAGATTTGGGCGAGGACACAAATCCAAACTCTATCATTCCCCATCATGTTACAACACCTACTGTTCCTTGCCTCAATGCTTTCAGCTGGCTTCAGTTGCCAGTTTCTGGTGTTTCTTAATTGGGTTTCTTAAATGGTTTTTGGAGGTTATGTAAAATTGTGTCACCAAAATATGTGTGTGTATATCTGTCTGCATACCTGCACGTAATCTCGTGAGGAAGAGGTTCAAACATTTTCATCATGTTTTCAAAAGATGCCGGGATCCACGGAAGGTTAATAATTACTTCTTCTTCTGTCCTTGTTTAGTATGGGTTCTCTCAGTGAAATTAGGTGAATACATCTTGTAGCCTGACAATGAGAATATAGATTGTGCTATAATTTAAGTGTGTCTTCCAAGAAGCAAGTGTTGAAAGCTTAATCCTTAAGGCAACAGTGTTGGGAGGTGGGTCCTGACGAGGTTGATGCCATCATGATGGGAGTGAGTGAGTTACTCTGAGAGCAGGCTCCTGGCAACAGGATGAGTTTGGCCCCCTTCCACTGCCCTCTCACACACACTCTCTTGCCCTTCTGCCTTTCATCATGTTATGATGTGGCAAGAAGGCCCTTGCCAGATGCCAGCCTCTTGATCTTGGATTTCCCAGCCTCCAGAACTGTAAGCCAATACATTTCTGTTCATTATAAATTACCCAGTCTCTGCTATTCTGTTACAGCAGCACAAAACAGACTAAGACAGATTGCAAACTCAAAGGGTTTTGGAAGCAAGGCGGGTAAAATGAATGACCGCAGCAGGTGATCTACAAGACAGTAGGGAGTGTTGGGGCCTGTGGGCAACTTGGAGAGGGGTGGCTTATTTAAAGCACCCTAATTTAGTCAAAAAGTTTACATTCAACTTAACTGCTGGCTGAATATGGTTCATAGGGACTGCGTTGCCATTTATGACAACCTCTGCTTGTTGAGAACGAGAGAGAGAGATAGCCTTCTCCTTGTCTTTATTTTCTGTTTATCTGTTAGAAATGCAGAACGATAGTAGGTGGATGGGATAGGAGCTGGTCATCACGGGCCCCAATCAAACAATATCTTGACATGATTTATAAGGATTAAGTCCTTTCAAAGTGTTCATTTGAATCTAGAACAAAGTAGAGAATTTCTGACATGACCTGCTCATCGTGCCCAGCACGGCCTGGCCTCTGCCCGCCTCTCCCACTGTCTCTGGGCCTCTTGCGACTCTCCTTTCCTCTCACTGAGCTCCAGACTTCTTTCTTCTCTCTGCATGCATCTGGCTCTTTTCCACATCAGTCTTTATGTTCTTTTCTCCAACTGGCAAACCTTTAAATTCACTTTCATAGCCAACTCCTACTCAGTTCTTTAGGTTCTAGTTCGTATTTTTTGTTTAAAGTATTACATCCTTACTGTTCGTAGACAGCAAACTTCTTGAGAGCAAGGATCATGCAAACCATTTTTGCTGCTGAGCTTTCTAATGCAGCGCCTGGCACCCAGTAGGCACTTAATACACATTCCTTGAATGAGTCCACGGTAGTATCAATGATTAGAGATGAATAGATGCCTGGGAAAGCTGATCTCTTGGGTGAGACTTCATGATGGCACAGCCTTGGTGTGGTCACCATATCCCACGGACTGATTCTCAATTTTGTAGGTTTCTGAACCTGAGTTGTATGTCTGTCAGGACTCAGTGGTTGATTGAGCCCCCTAAACTTATGGGAGACTGTGGTTTAAACTAGAATGCTGATTTTAAAATTCATTAGAAGACTGCACCCAGTGGCTCACTCAGCACTTTGGGAGGCTGAGGTGGGTGGATCACTTGCAGTCAGGAGTTCGAGACCAGCCTGGCCAACCTGGTGAAATTGAGTCTCTACTAAAAAAAAAAAAAAAAATTAGCCAGGCATGGTGGTATACACCTGTAATCCCAGCTACTCGGGAGGCTGAGGCAGGAGAATCACTTGAAGCTGGGAGGTGAAGGTTGCAGTGAGCCAAGATCACGCCACTGTACTCCAGCCTGTGCAACAGAGTGAGACTCCATCTCAAAAAATAAAATAAAATAAATAAATAAATAATAAATAAATTCATTATAAAACTAAAACTTCTCTTATATCTGAATGCCTAGGTCAGCCCACCAATGTATTTCCTCATTAGACATTGACAAACATGGAAGAAAAACAGTGGAAGAATTAGAAGAGAATATGGAAGCAGAATGTGATCTGGAGTCATGTTTAGTGACCACAGCAGGTATGGGATGTGAACAGCTGAGTTAATTGAGCAGGTTAATGGGGATGGCCTTGCCTTCAGTGGTATTGGAAGGAACCTGACAAAGTATTGATCCATTTCTAGACTCTAGGCTATTGCCTAATAATTTGTGTTGTGTTTCCTCTGAAGAAATAAAAGAGGATACCAAGATTCAATAGATACCAAGCGCTCATTTACGTGGCCAAACCTTTATTGAATAGCTAGATCTGCTCTTTCTGCTTTTGACCTCAGAGACATAGTTACTTGTAAAATGATTTCTGCAGATGGCTAATCTAACATGAATTGATTTCAATAAGCTTTCAGAAGGTGAATTTACCTTGACTTTGACTTCGATCCTCTGTGCTAACTTATTAATAATTAGTAAATGATTGTTGATGGAATACATGCTGTTTGAAACCAGTTCGTCTTAGTTTTTTCAAGCTGCTACAACAAAAGGCCTGAGACAGTGCAGTTTAGACACAATCAAAATATGCCTCACCATTTTTTTTTTTTTTTTTTTTTTTGAGATGGAGTCTCACTCTATTACCAGGCTAGAGTGCAGTGGTGTGATCTTGGCTTACTGTAACCTCCACTTTCCTGGTTCAAGCGATTCCCCTGCCTCAGCCTTTTGAGTAGCTGGGACTACAGGTGCGCCACTATACATGGCTAATATTTTGTATTTTAGTAGAGACGGGGTTTCACCATATTGGCCAGGATGGTCTCAATTTCCTGACCTCTTGATCTGCCTGCCTGATCCTCCAAAAGTGCTGTGATGACAGGCATGAGCCACTGCTCTTGGCCATGCCTCACAGTTTTAGGGGCTGGAAATCTGATATCAAGATGCCAACTGACTGGGTGTCTGGTGGGAGAATGACTTCCAGGTTCATAAATGGCACCTTCTTGCTGTGTCGTCACGTGGTAGGAGGGGCCAGGGTGCGCTCTGGGGTCTTTTCTACAAAGACATTAATCCCATTCACAAGGGCTGTGCCTTCCTGACTCAATTACCTCCCAAAGGCCCTACCTCTCAGTACCATCACTTTGGGGCTTAGGATTTCTACCTGTGAATTTTGGAGGAACACAAACATGAGACACAGCCCTATGCCATTAGGACTTACTGCTTATAACATTACCTGGTGAATGATGATGGGGAAAGAGGGGCCACAATAGTATCTAATTTTGGCTTATTTAACTTGAGTTCAGTTTTCCAGTAGGTATAAAGGCACATGCAAACAAATAACAGCTCATAGTAGAAGACATAGAGATACGTGTTCAGAGAAGCAAACCTATGTTCTTTTAAAATTAATACAGTACTTCAACATTTCATGTAGCTACTGGAAAAAGAATAAGCCTTTATCTTTTTAGTTCATGTAAAAGCACTTTGGAATGGATTTTTTTCAGGATTGGGAAGTAGCATAAAATTAATGTCCCTTAAAGCCACCTTATAGATTTTCTGTCTGAGACCCCATTAAGGCAACCTAAGTATTGCCATGCTTGCATGCTGACCAGAGTAGAAGTATCACTCATATTTAGAGTTTTAAAAAATGCAATCACAGGAGAAATCAACAGGTGTGGCTTTTGTTTTTTCTTTCTAAACCCTGGCTTAAAGCACAAGCGCACAATTCTCAGAGCAGGGGACCATGACCATCCCATACTATTTATATGCACGGATGAGGCTCCTCAGTAGGTGCCAAGTCTCTGCTGCAAAGGCTGTAGCCCTACAAAGGCTGGAGACGGGCACAGCACATATTTTATTGTGCAGGACAATACAAAGCTGAAGGCTGCTTTATATAATTGCCTTTTGCTGCTGCATAAAAAAGGGTGGATGTTGGACAGGCAAAAACAATTACTTTTTCTATGGTTGTCTTTATACATTTTATGTAATTTTAGATTTGTCGTATTATGCCAAGAGAAAAAGTTGACAGATCAATGTCCAGTAGACTTGTTTTTTTGTTTTTGTTGTTGTTGTTTTACATATGGCTACATATAATTCATATGATTAGTAGGATAATGTCCTTGTTACCCCCATGAAATCTATGAAGTCCTCATACCTGCAACTTGCAAATGTTATGTTATTTGGAAAAAAGCATCTTTGTAGATGTAATTAAGTTAAGGATCGTGAGATGGGAAATCATCCAGGTGGGCCCCAAATGCCTTCAGAAGTGTCCTTAGAGAGAGGCAGAAGAGATTTCACAAACACATAGCTGATGTGAGTATGAAACAGATGGGAAAGTGCTGCTGAACTGGAAGGTGGGAATGATGTGGCCACAAGCTGAAGAATGTGGCCATCACTAGAAGCTGGAAGAGATAAAGCATAGGTTCTCCCCTAGAACCTCTAACGGGTGTGTGGCTCTGCTGACACCATGATTTTGACTCAGTAATGCTGATTTAAGACTTCTGGCCTCCAGAACTATGAGAGAATATATTTCTACTGTTTTAAGTTTCTACGTCTGCAGTAATTTGTCACAAGAAACAAATATAAGAAGTAGCCAATATATTGACTGCGTTAGCATTTTAGCATTGAAATCTTATAAAGGTGTCATACATCATCAAGATGGGAGAATTTAGGTTTCATTTTCTGCTCTGCTACTAGCAACTTGCTTACTTCCTGCCTCTAATCAACTATTTTTCAGTTAAGGGAGAAATGATTTAGACAAGCTAAAGACCTTGCAATAACTTTTTTAATGGTCAGGTTTATTTTTCCTTTGGCGCAAAAGGGCATTTGTTGCATTACTCACTAGATGTCCTCCTATGTGAATTTGTGCTTTCAAATGTTATATTCTTGGCTTTTTCTAGCACCATCGTGGCTCACTGGTTTCATACTCCTTGACTCGGTATTCAGCTCCAATTTTCGTTCTCTTTAATTGAAAGAACTGCATGGTTCACACAGACCTGGAAATACAACCATTAGAATTAAATTACCACGCAAGAGTGCCCTGATGAGCTTCACAAAGACGTAGAACCCATGTGCTTTTGGAGTTGTTTTAGCACCCCGTTTGGAGCCAAACAGTCTCACAACTCCCATGATGACATCAGCTTTTTTTACACCTCTTAAAGTAACAACATGAGTTTTGTCTTCCAAAGGGTAATTTTGATTTCTTACAAAGGTAAGAAAGAAAAATCTGGAAAATGATTAAAATAAAAAGGCAGGCACACAAGGGGTAAATACCTTCAAGAAAGCAGTGTCATTGCTTAAAATGATGTAGATGAGACAATGAAAGAACCAAATTGTCACAGCAAATTCTTTACAAATTAATGCCATGATTCCTCAGTACTGTAGGCATTATAGTTCTGGAGAGGTTACAGAAACATCTTCCATTTTGATAACATGGAATCATTATATTTTTATGACTATATAGCTGACAGTAAAAGGAGCAATGATAATGATTCTCAAAAATGTAGGTAGATTTGCAGAATTCTAGGTGGACAGGTATAGTTCCTGCATATTGACAATTAGCAATGTGGAAATATTCCTTATGGAACTTATGTGCTACACAAAATGCAACTTAAAGTTGGTTACGCATCAGTTTCCTTTCAATTGAGATCTTCTGAATTTTTGGATTGAAGTTCTTATACATTACATGGATTCAATATACCCAATCTGATTGCTGGGGGTTTTATTTGGATGCATTTTTAAGTCTTATGAAATGAGTATATTATTATTATTATTATTATTTTTTTGAGACGGAGTCTTGCTGTGTCGCCCAGGCTGGAGTGAGTGGCGCCATCTTGGCTCACTGCAAGCTCCGCCCCCCGGGTTCCCGCCATTCTCCTGCCTCAGCCTCTCGAGTAGCTGAGACTACAGGCGCCGCCATCACGCCCAGCTAATTTTTTGCATTTTTAGTAGAGACGGGGTTTCACCGTGTTAGCCAGGATGGTCTCGATCTCCTGACCTCGTGATCCACCCGCCTCGGCCCCTTAAAGTGCTGGGATTACAGGCTTGAGCCACCGCGCCCGGCCGAGTATATTATTATTTTTAATAATGCTTTTATATTAGCTATTGGATAATTTTAAACCTCCAGTAGAGAACGTTTGGAATAATTGTCAAAGGATAATAACGTATATACTATGATTTAAATATTTGTGTCCTCCAAACTCATATTGAAATTGAATTGCCAGCATAATGGTATTGGGAGGGGGCCCTTTAAGAAGTAATTGGGCCATGAGGGCTCCACCTTCATGGTTGAGTTTAGTGTCTTAATAAAAGGGCTTTAATGAGTGAGCTCTGTCTTGGCTCTTCTGCTTTTCTGCCATGTGAGGAAGCCTGTTCCTCCCCTCTGGAGGAAGCAGCGTTTGAGAGGACATCTGGGAGCAGAGACTGGGCCTTCACCAACACTGAACATGTGGCCCTTCATACTGGGCTCTCCAGCCTTCAGAACTATGAGCCAATAAATTTCTGTTAATTATAAATTATCAAATCTATGGTGTTCTGTTATGGCGATACAAAACAAACCAATGCAATATGCTTTTATTGACAAGTGTAGTGTGTCACTGTGGTGAGATGTGTGTTGGTAGACGTATCTACTGTTCACATTTTATGCTGAAAAGTTGATTCATTATCCAAGGAAAAAATACAATTCTCTCATATCTCGGTTTAATAACTATACATAGTCGTATTTAATAAAATTAATTCAAATCTCATTTCTGGTAGAATATGCTGATATCTAGTTTTGGTTTTGATACTATATGAGTTTGATCATTTTAAATTAATGGAAATGGTCAAGCTATTAGGACTTAAGACAATAGCATATATTATTCTCTAATACTTCATCATGGATAAGCTACTATACATTTCTAAATATTTATAATTTCCAGTTATTCAATTAGTGCTTAATTATTAACTCATTTTAAGTGGCCTTTGCATGTGGCTCAGTCATTCAAATGAGGCTAATGTCTATCTTTAATTTGGGGTTATTTTATACTCTGTTATTCTCTAGCTAAATTTTGTTTGCTGTATCTTTATTACATTTCATATATCTGCAAAGCAGACAGCAAAACATAACAAAGACATTAAAAAGTGATTAAAGGTCATAAAATCAGTACTCAAGTTTCTGCTTGAATCACTTTATGAAGATTATCTAACATGAGAGGACCCCATTTACTAAAAATTCCTCATCTTGAAGTTATACACATATGTATGAGCTCCTCACCAAATGATCTCCAGTCGCAGGTCTCAGACCAGTGTTTAGGTTTCCATTTCATATATTGATAGGTGCAATATGCTGCTTGCTGAAATATTATTCCATCTAGCAATGGGAATGCTGCTGGCGATACAGAATTATTTGCTAGTTAATTAGACAATATCATAAGATAAAGTTTTCTCCAACCATGCTTCTTTCTCAAGGCTAGTATAAACAAATGCCAAATTAAACATTTCAATGGAAATGAACTGGTATGGTAGTTCAAACTACATATAAAAATTAAAAATTATAGTGAATTATTTAAAATATAATCAAGATGAAATTTTCCTTCTGGCAATTACAGAGTAAAATAATCTTGAATCCTTAGAATGAATTACTCTTCTCAGAGACAGAAATAAGTTCTTCGAAGAGAACAGGGAGGTATCCAAGTTGTAAGATAGTTTAAAGATAAAACTAAATGAGTGTTATGGGCCATTGTGAAATAAATATATCATCAGCCATCTCCAAATACAGCTTGGATTGCTTAGTTTTTATGAGACAATTAGAATGGGTTGTTTCAAAGTTTCAAAGTTAACTGAAGGGAATTAACTGAGGGCATGATATATTTTAGGGTTTCATTGTTCGCAGGCCTTTGAATAGAGAATATGGCATATTAAATTACTTTCATTGCCATCTTGATTCTGATAGATAGGTGGGCATAGAGTCTCATTAATGTATGTGCCTAACAGATGTTATTCAAGCTGTCTGTGGCATCGGCTCAGATGGGCTGGATATGTGACCTGCCAACAAGACAATAGATGGATTTTATCTCAAAGACTCTATTCTCATTGACTAGAGAAGTGCAACTGGCCAACAAATGCCTGCAAGTGTCCAATGGAGAAGTTTGAAGTTCAGCATTGGGAAGAATTACATGCAACACATGTTGCTTGAGCACATGCTAAGGGTCAGGCTCCTTGTGGGGCACGTGGTCAAGCTCTTTATGATTTACAGGCGTGTGTGCAAGTAACTGTAATACAACTCAGAACAGAAGGTCCACCATAAAGATAAGGACAAAATCCATGTGGAAAATTAAGTTCAACCTGAAGGGTGGGTTTAGGGAGGAGGGTGAATCCAAATGGAGCCTTGAGCTATGATGGGGTTTATATGAGCAAATCTGGAGACTGTACACTCAGTGAAAAGAATTTGGAGATGAAATAACACAGGCAAGAAAGATAGGGCATGTTCTAATTGGTATCTGTATTACCCTGATAGATTAAGAATGAAGTCGAGCATGAAATAGAAAAAGTATATTAGGCCCAGATTATGGAAGGTGTTTAATGCTAAGCTAAGGATTTTTTTTTTTTTGAGATGGAGTCTTGCTCTGTCGCCCAGGTTGGAGTGCAGTGGTGCAGTGGTGTGATCTCGGCTCACTGCAACCTCCGCCTCCTGGGTTCACGCCATTCTTCTGCCTCAGCCTCCTGAGGAGCTGGGACTACAGGCGCCCGCCACCACGGCCAGCTAATTTTTTGTATTTTTAATAGAGACGGGATTTCACTGTGTTGGCCAGACTGGTCTCAAACTCCTGACCTCGTGATCCACCCACCTCGGCCTCCCAAAGTGCTGGGATTACGGGCATGAGCCACCATGCCCAGCCGGCTAAGGATTTTTGTTCTATATAAAAGGGGATCCATCAAAATTTTTTGAGCAGAAAAATAACCCAATGAATGTGATGTGGTAGTAAGATACCTGGGTGGTAATGTGGAGGAGGCATTGCAGCAAGACCATTGAAGGCAGAGATACGATATAGGGGACCACAAAGCTATTGTACAGGGTTAGGTCAGTGACAATGAAGGCTTGAGTTTGGGAAGTAGTATTGGGAAAGTTTAAGAAGAAATGGGAGTCACAAATGAAAGCCATTTTACTGTGATGAAGGCATCAACAATGTTAATTCAAGAGATACTGGAACAAAGCAGAAAATGTCTATCCTTTTGCAAATCCACTCTTGTATTCAGAAAAGCTGAACTGAGTTTGACATATTTATAGGAAAGGCAAGTATTATGGGAAGAGAGAGATGTTCATATGAAGACATGTTTAAAATTTCAGGGTTTTAAGATTTGAAAATGCAATGAATGATGATATTTAAATTCTATATCTTCAGCTTTTGCAAAATTATGGAATTTCTGAGTTCTAGAACCATGTAGTCATCATTGAAGCATGTAGAACACAACACTAGGAAAAATGGAAAGGCTCCTTATTGGAGGGATGGTAAGTATATGGAGCCTATATTCTTGGATTGTGAGACCTTGCAATGCTCTTCCTTCATCTGAAGAGTCCTCTCCTCTTCTCTCCTCTTCCCTCTCCCCAGGGCTGAAGAACAAGGACGGTGTCAAGATGGGCATTTTTTCTGTGCATAGCGAATTGGGAGGCAAAGAAAACTGCTGAAAAAAATTGGTAAGAGTTTGGGATCTTAAAGATATAGTAAGTTTGTGGTAGCCTCTGTGGATGTAGGGTGAAGGAAAGGTGGGGAGGGGGGAGAGAGAGAGAGAGAGAGAGAGAGAGAGCGCGATTGTTCACGGTATTGAGACTTCAGTACTTGAGTCATGAGAATGTTGTCTAAGTGTCCTGGGCTTAGCAACTAAACCTGTGTGTATTTCTTCTTTATAAGGGTCTTATACACAAGATCTTGGACTCCTGTTGTGTTTCCCTAGAAATCCAAATTCTGCTAGCACCCATCTCATGTGTCATCACCTTAGGATGTCTTCCTGTGTATTGCTGTTGTCTTCGTCTTTCTCGGAGCATGGATAGTGTACTGTGTACAACTCACTCACAAGACTTATATCAGTGAACCGTGTATAGCTTGCTAGTGAGTATTCCTGGAGAAGTTGCTGAAACTCTGTGATTCAGTTTATTTTCTGTAAAAGAGAGACTGAAATAGTACCCACCATGGTGTTGTTAGAGTATTAAATCAGACAATTCATAGAAAGGGCTGAGCTCAGTGCCTTCTACATAAGCTTTGATTCAGCACTACTGTCGTTTCCATCTGTGTTTTCCAGGACAAGACTGGGGATGGAATCAGGCTCAAGTAGTAGCATATTCCTTTGAATCTCAGAGTTACAAAGTGAAGGTTCTGTAATAATTAATTGCACAAATCCAGATATTACCATAAACGTTTTAGCAGCAATATATCCTGATGCTCAGGTTCTCAATTGATTGCTTCGCCGGGGGCAAATGTAACCATAGACAATTTTAGAGCAATTTTGACAGTCAGATATATTTTATGTGACCACTTTCATTGACTTCGGAGTTGAAAGATTCTACTGAATTGTCATACGAAGGATATTGTGATTATGTGAATTGGAAGAATGGTGTGAAATGAAGAAAGAGAAATCATATAAGCTATAGTTGAAGAATACAATGTATTTTTTAATATACACATTTCAGCAGGTTTATCATTTGAATTTAAAATCAGAGCTGGATGTCCTTGTATGCCATTTATTCAATTTTTGAGGGAGAAAATACTATTCTCAAGCGTATCATGAAATGACATTGCATTTACCACCCACCAGCCTGTGTTGATTGAATAGTCTTCAATGTTCAGGTGCAACCTCCTGAAAGTAAAGCATAAGTGAAGATATAAATGCAATAGGCTCATTGTCTGTAGATAAATTGGAGAAATAATAAACTGGTTTTTCTACATAACATATGACATAGAGAATTTCTGATGCAATATAATAACAAATGCCAGAAATGTTAAATCTTTAGGCAACATTAAAAACTATAAGAATGTTTTTGTTCTTGTGCCTGGTCAACCAAGAGAAACAAGAATATAGTACTTTCTCCCATTAATAGTATAATGAATTAATGAATCCAGAATTGTTCTGTGGGTTGTTTCTTAAACTTAGGAGGTGATAATCTCTCTTACCCCATACTTAGTTCATTACAAATTAATCGAAAAAGTTCTTCTTTAAAAAATTTCTCAGATGGGCGCCGTGGCTCACGCCTGTAATCCCAGCACTTTGGGAGGCCAAGGCGGGCGGATCACGAGGTCAGGAGATCGAGACCATCCTGGCTAACACTGTGAAACCCTGTCTCAACTAAAAATCCAAAAAATTTAGCTGGGCGTGGTGACGGGCGCCTGTAGTCCCAGCTGCTCGGGAGGCTGAGGCAGGAGAATGGCGGGAACCCGAGAGGCGGAGCTTGCAGTGAGCTGAGATCGCGCCACTCACTCCAGCCTGGGCGACAGAGTGAGACTCTGTCTCAAAAAAAAAAAAAAAAATTCTCTTGGATTTATTTTCTTCTTTCATGCCATTAAAGCTGAGCTCCCTTTCAAGTTTGGATTATTTTAGTGGTCTTTTGAAAAGACTTCCCACTGGGATGCATTCTAAATGATTCTATAGGGCTACTATTTTTACAACACTACTTTCATCATGTCACCTTCCTGCTCTGAAATTAATTATTACTGTCTATTTTTTCTTACCTCATCCAATAAATAGCTGTTTCTTCACATTTTCAGGCTCAGCATTCCAGTCCCGCTCTGTCTCTCTAACTTATTTTTTCCCACTCATCAGTATTATTGTGATTCACTTGGAGCCCCTGTTGCAAGCACTTCTGCTTCTCTGTGCCACATTCCTTCTCCCCTTTATGCTTTGATTGCCCTGTCAGCTTCATCTCCTTTCCGCCTCCTGCAAGATCCACCTGTCTAGATTGATTCCATCCTCAAAGCCTTCTTGCTGCAAACTTGGTCATTATTTACAAACCCAAATCAGCTCCAATGTGCCCTCTTGCACAGCAGTGGCTGTAAAGACCCTGCTGCCATGGTGAGCACAGAGAATCCACAGTCCCTGGTGGCTTTCCAGGGTTGTGAGGTTGTCGCTGAGTCTTAATATTCTTGTCTCCCACAGGACTCCTGGGACATCAGGATGGGCTACCTGGTATCTTATCTGCAAGAGAGCCTCAGGGCTTAGAGTGATGAGGGATTTGGAATGATAGTTGGGTCCTGATATGGTTTCGCTCTCTGTGTCCATCCAAATCTCATCTTGAATTGTAATTCCCATCACCCCATGCGTTGAGGGCAAGACCTGGTGGGAGGTGATTGACTCATGGGGCTGGTTTCCCCCTTGCTGTTCTTGCGATAGTGAGTAAGTTCTCACGAGATTTGATAGTTTTATTAGGGGCTCTTCTCCCTTTGCTCACTCTCTCTCACCTGCTGCCATGTATGACATGACTTTGCTTCTCTCTCACCTTCCTCCCTTATCGTAAGTTTCCTGAGGCCTCCCAGTCATGCAGAACTGTGAGTCAACAGCACCTCTTTCCTTTATAAATTACCTAGTCTCGGCTGTGTCTTTCTAGCAGTGTGAGAACAGACTAACACAGGTCCTGAGATTCACGGGTTAAAAATGGGTTGGTATATAAGCCCTCCACTCCCACAATTGCTGGTAAGAGATAGGGAAAAAAAATCAGGGAACAGGTTGACCATTTGCAGCAAGTACATTTGAAGACCCCTTCCCAGCCGCTCTGCAGACTTCTCAGGTTCTTCAGAGAGGTCTTGGCGTGAGTGAAGAAAACACACTCCTACAGGAGGAGTTGCCAATACTTGGAAAGGAAGCTTGTCTGCATCTTACAAAGGACAGTAGGATCAAGGATGTGGAGTGGAGAAAAAGACCTAAAAGAGTAAAAGACTGTGGACAGGGGGTGCAGCAACACCACCACCCAAAAAACCCAAACCAGCAGGTACCAAGGAGCACCAGCCCTTGGGACAAACTGGTAGGGTGGGGGCGGGGGCAGAATGAGAGAGAGACAGGAGTATGAGGGAGACAGAGGAGGATGAGGAAGAGAGAGGGACAGGCAGAGAGAGAGGGAGAGAAAGAAAGACAGGAGAGAGGGAAGGCAGAGGCAGAAGGTATCCTCCTAGAAGCTACTTACTATGTTGGTGCCCAGGTTAAATGCCATTGAGAATTATTGTAAACCCTCAGATATTGAGGGCTTTGTGTTTTGAGACAATAGATGCAATATTGAAGTAATAAAGACTGCAGTCTTATCTATCAGAAACAAAAGCGCGTCTGTGCTTAGGAAGTGACTAACACATTTTCAGTCCCAGATTTATTAGGACATGCCCCATGGGTCAGGCCTTCAGGGCCTTTGCAGCCCCCTCTGGGATGTCTGGCTGCTGGATATTTTTCTCCTGGGGCTGTTTCCTGCCCTTCCTGGATGAGGCTCTGCATCACAGGTGCTTGAAGAAGCATAAACACATCTTGTTTCTTCAGCAATGTCTTAGTTCATTTGTGTTGCTATAAAGGAATACCAGAGACTGGATAATTTGTAGAGAAAAGAGGTTTATTGGCTCATGGTTCTGCAGGCTCTACAGGAATCATGGTGCTGACATCTGCTTCTGGTGAGAACCTCAGGAAGCTTCCATTCATGGAGGAAGCTGAAGGTGAGCCAGCGTGTCACATGGTGAGAGCAGGAGCAAGAGAGAGAGAGGGAGCAAGACAGCGAGGGAGGAGGGGCCAGGCTCTTTTAAACAACCAGATCTCACGTGAACTCATAGAGTGGGAACTCACTCATTACTGCAGCAAAGACAGCACCAAACCATTCATGAAGCATCTGCCCCCATGGCTCAAACACCTCCCACTAGGCCCACCTCCACTGCTGGAGGTCACATTTCAGCACGAGTTCTGGAGAGGACAAACCATCCAAACCACATCAAGTAACAGAATAAAAAGTGCATCCTGGTGTCTCCTACTAGTAGAAGCTTGGAGTCCTCTTTGGGCCTTTTTAATGTCAAAGATGATAAATTTCTATTTTTGTTTTAGAATCTTAAAAATAATCCATAAGCTGTGAAGGTGGGTTCCAAATAGGTCTGAAATTGGTTTGAGAAATAGAAACACATGTGCGTCAGTTCACAAATGGCCATTTTGAAAAGAAAGAAGATTGGACTCGGCATCAGAACATGGCATGTGGATGTGCCTACTCAGCCATGCTGGGCGCTGACCCCTTTTTAAAACCCAGAGCAGTAACACACGTTCTCCTTGTTTCCATGGGCTCTGTGCAAATCAAGATAGAATGGAAAGATTATATGTGGAATTAATTGTCATGTGTCCTGTAAATATAGCATGTTAAATATAATTATACATGTATTAAAATCGTTAGAGTTTCTAGACAAACCTGGCACTCTTTCATTCAAATAAGGTGAAGATAGAGGAAATAGGCTTTCTTGGAATGCAAATTTAAAAATGCAGTAAGACTTATGGCTTGGAAAAATTCAAGTTTTTTAAGGTAGAAAAGGGTCGTATTTTACTAGAATGTTAGATAAGACATCAGTACTGTAAAGGTATGGAGAAATAATGGTTGAAGAAGGAATTATTCTCCCCAGACAATTCTAGAGAATATGCATATTATTCTCATCTTGGCCAAAACACCATAATGGGATTAATGCTTTCTGCCAAACAAAT